GAGCTTCCAGACTATGACAGACTCAGAAGAAGGAAGAAGTCATCAACTTCTCAAAGAACTGGTTGGTGAAAAACTTATGAATGCCAGTGAAACACTGTCTGATATATTACTGGAAAATTATATGTTGTTGTTGTTGTTATGTGCCGTCAAGTCGGCCCCGACTCATAGCGACCCCTCCTTGGGTTTCCGAGGCAGTATCACTACGGAAGTAGGATTGCCCAACCTTCCTTCCGAGGAGTGGCTGATGGGTTTGAACCGCCAGCCTTCTGGTTAGCAGTCAAGTGCTTTAGCCACTATGCTACCAGATGAATAGCCCTTAAACATTATCTGATATAGTGCTGGGAAATGAGCCCCCAGGTTAGAAGGTACTCAAAATACGACTGGGAAAAAATTGCCGCCTCAGAGTAGAGCCAACCTGAATCATGTGGACAGAATAAAGTTTTTGGGAGCTCCATTTGCTGATGTGACATGACTCAAAATGGGAAGAAACAGCAGCAAACATGCATTAATAATTGGAACATGGAATGTATGAAGTATGACTGTAGGAAAATTGGAAATTGTCAAAAATGAAATAGAACACATAAAGATCAGTATCCTAGACATTAGTGAGCTGAAATGGACTGCTTTGGGCCATTTTTAATCAGACAATCATATGATCTACTATACTGAGAATGACAAATTGAACAGGAATGGTGTGGCATTCATCATCACAAAGAATGTATCAAAATCTATCCTGAAGTACAATGCTGACAGAGATAATATCGATACACCTACAAGGAAGACCAGTTAATACTACTATTATTCAGATTTATGCACCAACCACCAAAGCCAACGATGAGGAAATTGAAGATTTTTACCAACTTCTGCAATCTGAAATTGACCAAACATGCAATCAAGATGTGTTGATTATCACTGGTGACTGGAATGCAAAAGTTGGAAAAAAAACAAGAGTTACCAGGAGTTGGAAAATATGGTCTTGGTAATAGAAATAACACGGGAGATCTCATGAGAGAATTTCGAAAGACCAATGTCTTATTCATTGCAAATACCTTTTTTCAACACACATGATGGCTATTCACTTGGACTACATGAGACGGAGTACACAGGAATCAAATCGACTACCTCTATGGCAAGAGGTGATGGAGAAGCTCAATATCTTCAGCCAAAACAAGGCCAGGAGCTGATTGTGGAACAGACTATCAGTTGCTCATATGTAAGTTCAAGTTGAAGATGAAGACAAGTAAAACAAGTTCATGAGAGCCAACATATGATTTTGATTATATCCCTCCTGAATTTAGAGACCATCTAAAGAATAGATTTGATGCATTGAACACCAATGACCAAAAACCAGAGGAACCAATGACCAAAAACCAGTGGGATGACATCAAGAAGATCATCCATGAAGAAAGCAAAAGGCCATTAGAAAAAGAAAAAAGGTAGAAGAGACCAAAATGGATGTCAGAAGAGACTCTGAAACTTGGCCTTGAATGGAGAGTAGCTAAATAAAGCAAATGGAAGAAATGACAAGACAAAAGAGCTGAACAAGAGATTTCAAAGAGTAGCTCGAGAAGATGAAGTCAATTATTATAATGAAATGTGCAAAGACCTGGAGTTAGAAAATCAAAAGGGAAGAACACACTAGACATTTGTCAAGCTGAAAGAACGGAAGAAAAAAATTAAGCCTCAAGTTAAAATATTGAAAAATTCAATGGGCAACATATTGAATGATGCAGGAAACATCAAAAGAAGATAGAAGGAATAAACATTTTTTGTACCAAAATGAATTGGTCAATGTTCATTCATTTCAGGAGGTGGCATATGATCAAGAACCAATGGCATTGAAGAAAGAAGTTGAAGCTGCAATGAAGGATTTGGGGAAAGAACAAGCATCCAGGAATTGGCAGAATACCCACTAAGATGTTTCAACCAACAGAGGCTCCGGTGGAGACACTCACTTGGCTATGCCAAGAGATTTAGAAGACAGCTACCTCGCCAACTGATTGCAAGAGATCTACATTTGTATCCATTCCAAATAAAGGTGATCCCACAGAATGTGGAATTCATCAAACAATATCATTAATATTGCATGCAAGTAAAATCTTACTGAAGAAAATTCAAAAATGGTCTCAGCAGTATATTGACAGAGAACTTCCAGAAATGCAAGCTGGATTCAGAAGAGGACACACAATGAGGGATATCATTGCTGATGTCAGATGGATCTTGGCTAAAAGCAAAGAATACCAGAAAGATGTTTACTTGTGTTTTATTGACTACACAAAAACATTTGATCATGTAGATCATAACAAGTTATGGATAACATTGCGAAGAAAGGGAATTCCAGAATACTTAATTGTGCTCATGAGAAACATGTATATAGACCAGGAGGCTGTCATTCAAACAGAACAAAGGGATACTGCATGGTTTAAAATCAGGAAGGGAGTGTGTTAAGGTTGTATCCTTCCACCATACTTATTCAATCTTTATGCTAAGCAAATAATCTGAGAAGCTGGACTATATGAAAAAGAATGTGGCATCAGGATTGGAGGAAGACTCATTAACAACCTGCCATATGCAGATGACACAACTTTGCTTGCTGAAAGTGAGGATGACTTGAAGCTCTTACTAATCAAGATTGAAGACTACAGTCTGCAGTATGGATTAAAACCAAACCAAACCAAACTAAACTCACTGCCATTGAGTTGATTCCGACTCATAGCAACCTCCTTTGGGTTTCCTAGGTGGTAAATCTTTATGAATAAGAGCTCTGGTAGCGTAGTGCCTAAGGCACTTGACTGCTAACCAGAAGGTTGGTGGTTCAAACCCACCAGCCGCTCCTCCGAAGGAAGGTTGGGCAATCTACTTCCATAGTGATACTGCCTCAGAAACCCAAGAAGGGGTCATTATGAGTCGGGTCCAACTCGATGGCACATTACAACAACAACAACAACAAATCTTTATGGAACTAGATTGTCCAGTCTTCCTTCCGCAGAGTGGTTGGTGGGTTTGAACTGCCAATGTTCCGGTTAGCAGTCAAATGCCTTAGGCACTGTGCCACCAGAGCTCCCTCGGTCTATGGATTACATCTCAATCTAAAGAAAACAAAAATCCTCACAAATGGACCAGTAAACAGCATCATGATAAATGGAGAAAAGGTTGAAGTTGTCAAAGACTTCATATTACTTTCTTCTATAATCAATATCAAGGGAACCAGCAGTCATGAGACATCTGACAACGTATTGCATTGGGCAAATCTGCTGCAAAAGACCTCTTTCGAGTGCTGAAGAGCAAAGATCTCTCCCTGAGGACTAAGGTGCACCTAACTCAAGCCATGGTATTTTCAGTCACCTCATATGCATGTAAGAGCTGGACAATGAATAAGGAAGACTGAAGAAGAGTTCATGCTTTTGAGATATGGTGTAGGCGAAGAATACTAAGAGTACCATGGACTGCTAAAAGAACTAACAAATCTATCCTGGAGGAAGTGCAGCCAGAATGCATCTTGGAAATAAGAATGGCCAGACTTGGTCTCCCCTACTTTGGTCATGTTGTCAGAAGGGACCATTCCCTAGAAAAGGATATTATGCTTGGTAAAGTGAGAGGACAACAAAAAAGGGGAAGGCCTCAACAAGATGGATTGACACAGTGGCTTCAACAGTGGGCTCAGATATGGCAAGGATCATGAGGCTGGCACAGAACTGGCCAGTATTTCATTCTGTTGCACACAAGGTCGCTATAAGTAGGAGACAACTTGATAGCACCTAACAACAACAGCAACAACAATTTACCTTTAATCACAGTCCTCCAATCTTAACTATTATTACTGCCTATATATATATATTTTTTTTTTCTTACATAGTTCTTATGTTCCACACATTCCTTATTATTATTAGGATGGTTATTTTAAATGTTAAGTGCTTTGCTGATTTGCTGGATAAAATGATTTACTGATTCTTTGCACATTAGGACTTAGTATGCCTAACTTTTTTCTCTGGGATCAATTTTCTTATATTTCAAGATCAGATTCTTTAGGTCTTTCAGTGAAATATCACAGTTTGTAATACTGTATTCCACCTCTTCTTTAGAATAGTACTTCATTCTTATGTATAACTCTGGTAGCATAGTGGCTAAGACACTTGCCTGCTAACCAGACGGCTGGCGATTCAAACCCACCAGCCACTCCTCAGAAGGAAGGTTGGGCAATCCTACTTCCGTAGTGATACTGCCTCGGAAACCCAAGGAGGGGTCGCTATGAGTCGGGGCCGACTTGACGGCACATAACAACAACAACAACATACTCTATCAACCTAATTGTAGTTCTGTAAGAACTCCATTTTTTCTGTCTGGTTGCTTAACTTCCTCCCCCTACCCTGTTTAAGTGTACTGCAGTTACAGTTCAGTAGCACTGAGTGGTTGTTTATATTAATCTTGCCAATTTCTTTATATCAATTCTGAGAAATATTTAGCCATATATTTTTGGAAAATTATCTTGCAATTATTCTACTCTTGTTTTTTTCTGGGAGGAGGGGCACAAAATATATCTATATTTTTATATTCCAACCAAAACCAAACTCACTGCCACTGAGTTGATTCCAACTCACAGCGACCCCCATAGGGTTTGCAAGGCTGTGCATCTTTATGGAAACAGGCTGCCCCACCTATCTTTTTCAGCGTAGCTAGTGGGTTCAAACCACCTGCCTTTCGGTTAGCAGCCAAATGCTTTAACCACTACACTACCATGGCTCCTGCTCCTTTATTTTTATATCAGAGGAGTAGAAAAGAAAGCAGCCACTATACTGGGTCCTATTCAGTGGCAGCTTCTTGTTCTATAAAGTTAAGGAAAACATTTAGGAAATAAAAGTTGTTTGGAAAAATCCAGATGTACTTAGTTGCTTTGTATGTTGTGATGGGTAGAAGGGATGAAATGAAATGTGAAGGCCCTCACATCCTCCATCTTGCCTCCGACTGTGGCCTGTAATCTTGCAGAGGAGAACTCTCCACTCTCATTCCTGCTTCTTGGGATTGGTGACAGCCACATAGTGATAGAGAATGATAAGCAAGAAGAGAAACACACTCAGAATGTTGGCCAAGATGGCTAACTGCATATCTGTTACCATCTTAATCAGCCCTGCTTAGCTCTGATGCTCTCTGTACAAGTTCAAGGTAGGAACTCTCTTCTCCTGTGATAAAATACTTTTATGTATGTGTTGAGCCTCATTTTCTTCCTCTCTTGCTATTTTATTCTTGGCAATTTAATCAATTATAAGGTCACATACTCATTATTTAGCTATGACTAATTCATTGTTTAATATATTCATTTGATTTTTAATTTCAATTATTAAAATTCTCATTTTAAAAATCAGTCTGTGTTTTGTTCTTAGTTCATTTTATTAGAGTTTAAATCTTACTTTAGTCATTATTAATATACAGTTTTTCTTTTTTTTCTTTAAGACTATTGTTTTATTCATTCAAATCCTTTGGGCTATAATCATCCCATTATTATCTATTTACTAATTTAAAATGGATTTTTTTCCCCAAATTTTTAGTAGGTTTATTGTGAGGTTCTCTTTTCACAGGTTTAATTATTCATCAAGAATCCATGTATACCTGGACTAAAGGAGTGTCCATTGAAAATGGGTATATATTTCCTTTAGCAAAGGCTTTAGTAACATCACCAATCAGGAACCTAGTTTTATATTAATATTCTGGTTTCTGCCTCATGGATTATATGTTGCTGTTTTTAGGTCCCATTGAGTCTGCTCTGATTAATGGCAACCCCATGTACAACAGAAAGAAACACTGCCCGGTCCTGCGCCAGCCTCACGATTCTTGCTATACCTGAGCCCATCATTGCAGCCATTGTGTCAGTCCATCTTGTTGAGGGCCTTCCTCTTTTTTGCTGACCCTCCACTTTACCAAGCATGATATCGTTCTCCAGAGAATGGTCCCTTCTGACTACATGATGAAAGTAGGTAAGAAGTCTGGCCATTCTTGCTTTAAAGAATCATTCCGCCTACACTTCTTCCAGGACTGATTTGTCCATTTGTTCATGGGTTATATGGGTACCATAAATTCAGACCTCAAATCCATGTTTGATTTCTGATCTCTCAGTGGATTTTTAATTCCCTTCTTCATTTTAGTGGTAAGGCTCAGTCTTTTCCTTGTTCCACTGAGTAGATTTTGGCTATTTAAGTTTGAAGACATTCAAGAGCCTTAATTTTGTGCAATGATCTCACTACAAATACATAGGAGGAAAGGGTCCATTGCTTTGTCTCTGTCCCTCAAATGAGGCAAAAAACAAAGCTCTAATTTATTATATTCAACTGGTAATTCTCACCCAACTGCTCAATCCAGAATAGCCACAGTTTCAACATTTGCATACAACTCTGGTTTTCAGGTTTACCTTTATTCCTATTAAGTACAGATTTTTCTTTTTTTGTAAGCTCAACTAGGTGTTAAATAAATGTTGTTATTTTTACATTTTATCCAACAATACTAGTTACCAGGCTTATCTTGGCCTACCATCTGGTTAGAATCCTCGATCATCTTTCAACCTTTCTCTACAACAACATTCATAAGGGCTTAGAAGACATACTCCTATCAATAATTGTAATTAGTTATATGATACATTTTGCCTATGTACGGAGTATATATAAAGACCTCTAAGATAGTGCCTCTCACTCTTCAATGGGCTCGGGATTCATCTGGAGATTCTTACTAAAATGCAAATCCTGATCTAGTGGGTGAATCATGTGTTTTCAATGTTGCTGCCTCTTGGCTAGCATTTTGAGGAGGACGGTCCAAAGAGATTCTGGGATGTGCTCTAAAAGAGCATCCACACACCAGCCGCTGTATGTTCAGAATCACTTTTGAAAGCAAAATATTTGTAGGTATATGCCTCATCAGGCCACCAAAATACTAATCTATTTCTTTAATAACACCATCTATGCCTTCGACTGCTAACCAGAAGGCTGGTGCTTCAAACTCATCAGCCACTTCTCAGAAGGAAGACTGGGCAATCTACTTCCACAGAGATACGGCCTCAGAAACCCAAGGAGGGCTCACTGTGAGACAGAATCAACTCAATGGCCGTGAGTTTGGTTTGTTTTTTGGTTTAGTTCTTTCCTGAAGCTTTCAATGTTGTTTTCTTGTTATTTTATATTATAAATATCTCATTTCTAACTTAAGGAGCTCTGGTCGTGCAGTGCATAAGACGTTTGACTGCTAACCAGAGGATTGAGAGTTCAAACTCACCACCCATTCCATGGACGGAAGATAGGGCAATCTACATCTATAAAGATTTACTGCCTTGGAAACCCAAAGGAGGTTGCTGAGTTGGAAATGACTTGATGGTAGTGGGTTTGGTTTATTTTTTTTGGTCATTTCTGACCTAGCCAGCACTGACTGTTTCATTTATTTGCTCTGTGCTTTAATTTCTCAAAATTCTGTGCTAACCAAATTCTTTAATTTCAGAGGGGATCAGGCATTCCCCAGGTTATAAATGTCTGCTTTCCAGACAACTCCTACTTGCCCTTTAATATCATGCAAATTTGTCCTCACTTTGAAATGATTGATGGTGCTCTAGTGGCATAGTGGTTAATGTATTTGGGGTACTAACCAAAAGGTCAGCAGTTCAAACTCTCCAGACGCTATATGGGAGAAAGATGAGGCAGTCTGCTTCTACAAAGATTTACAGCTTTGGAAATCCTATGGGGCAGTTCTACCCTGCCCTGTAGGGTTTCTATGAGTCAGAATCGATTCAATGGCAGTGGGTTTGGTTAGGCTTGGTTTGAAACAATTGAACCAACCTCTACTCACCCTCGGAAGGAAGATGGGGCAATCTACTTCCGTAGTGATACTGCCTCGGAAACCCAAGGAGGGGTCGCTATGAGTCGGGGCTGACTCGATGGCAAAACAACAACAACAACAACAACTATTCACAACAAATTCTTTATCACAATCAACTTCACTTTTTGCACATGCAGCTTTAAATCACAGAAGGGTTTCAAGCCTTATCTTGTGCTAAAGTAAGGCTAAATAAGAACTGTATGTACCTGATTCAACTTCCCTACAAATTCTTGGAAACAGTTAGGAACGGATCTCGTTCATAACCCAGAGACTGCCTGTACCTTCAACTCTTCATCCCCAGTATTGCCTACTCAGGAAGGTGCACATAGATGGCATGCAGTATGCAATTTCTTGTTATAATAAATGAGATAATGTACATTATCCAGAGATGGACTCACTGACCTTGGCTTTGTTCTGCAGCTTTATAAAATGTGAGTTGCTTATCACCAGAAGACTATTGCTTGTCCATTACCTATGCTGAGCACTTTAAAAATTAGACATAGTCTGGAGAGAAGACACTGTGGGGAGTGAATCTACCATCCTCAATGATTGTCTCCCTTAAATCCCACCATTGCCTGACCAACCCCCTAAACCCACTTTCATCAAGTCAGTTCCAAGTCATAGTGATCCTGTAAGGAAGGACAGAACAGAACTGCCTAGAGGGTTTCCAATGCTGTAAATCTTTATAGAAGCAGATTGCCACACATTTCTTCCAAGGGATGGTTGGTGGGTTAGAACAGCCAACCATTCAGTTAGCAGCAGAGCACTTTAATCACTGAACTACCAGAGATCTTCCATTACCTGAAGGGGAGCATAATAAATTGTTTCCCCAGCTGTGGTGTTGTTTAACTACACAGTTTCTAAATCGACTAGCTTTCTTATTCTCCTACGTGGTTGGAGAGGAGACCTCAAAAGGGATTTTATGGAAGTCTTTCTGCCTTTTTATATACTTTCAAGTACATTACTGTCTCTACAAGAAAATAAAAAGTCCGAACAAGATTTAGTATGCACAGCTGAATCTGAGCCCGTAAGAATGATATTTGTGTCAATCTCAAAAACAGAGCTCTCAGTATTTGAATAGTATATCTCACCCTTTCAACACGGAGCTCAATTTATAGTGATAGATTTTATTTTAAAAGTATAAGCACACATACACGCACACAGAGACAGTGATAGATTATATTTTTAAAGTATAAGCACACATACACACACACAGAGACATATTTTTGTCTATATATGAAAATACATATAATATACAAAAAAATATGTCTCTGTGTGTGTATGCATGCTTATACTTTAAAAATAAAATCTATCACTATAAATTGAGCTTCATGTTAAAAGGGTGAAATATATTTTCATATACATAAAATATTATATATGCATATTTTCATGTGTGCACATGTTTGTGTGTGTGGTATAGGAAGTCAGAGATAGAGAAAGAGAGAAATACAAAAAGGTGGAGAGAGAGACAGCAAGAGACAGAGACAGAGAGAAAGATTGATGTGGAGAAAATAAAATGTCTTGCCCTCATTCTCTTCTCTCATTTATTTCAGTTCATCCCTATCTGTACAGGTAAACCTCAGAGATCTTGTAGATTTGGTTCCAGACACTTAAATAAAGCACATATCACAAAAAAAGTGAGTCACATGAATATTGTGGTTTCTCAGTGCATATAAAAATTAAATTACATTATACAGAAGCAGCGCCCCTCCCCCCCAGGAGGTGAAAGAAAATGAAGTTTTCATTGCTCTTCTTTTTTTTTTTTAATTTTGTTGTGATTTGGGTGAAAGCTTATAGAGCAAATTCATTTTCCATACAGCAGCAGTTCACATACACTTTGTCTCACATCATTGACTATAATTTCCCACAATGCAATAGCTCTCTTTCCACTTCCTCCCCATAGTTACCTCTTACCTGTGTCCTTCCCTCTCATGCACTCCTGCCCCATGAGCTGTCTCCCTGTGCATACACAGCCCTTCTATTCTCCCATGATTGATCTCTCCAAGGAGTGTATCTATCTAATGTTAATGTTCAGCTCATATGTCTATCTCATTTGGCTAGAAGCCACAGGAGTAGGTTCAATTCCAGGCTTGAAGTGCAGCTAGGGGCCATAGTCTCAGGGGTTCCTCCAGGTTCTATCAGACCAGCAAACCTGATCCTTTTTTTTTTTTTTCCTTTTTTTTAATGATTTTGACTTTTGCTCTACATTGTTCTCCCACTCTATCCAGGATCTCCTACATAGATTCCCCTCTGAGTTGTTGCAGTGGTA